GGCCGATTTAGAAACGAACCGCCACAAGAACGTTACTGTTTTCTATGTAATGACGAATCAGTAGAGGATGAAAAACATTTTTTATTTCATTGTAAAATCTACGAAAATATTAGAGAAACTTTTTTCATAATGTTAATTTAAATAGAACTGTAGCTCCATTTGAAAATTTAAACATTTTAATGAAAAATCATCAGAGACAAATTGCCAAGTTTTTAAATTTATGTTTTTCACTAAGACAAAAATATTTATATCAATCAAATTAATATTATAATGTCCATCATGCGCGCTTTAAATGATTATAGTAATACTGTACATACTAGTATATTAAAGTGACATATAGGTCCAATGGGCCGGGTGTAATGTATACACGTTTATATTGTATTTACTTGTTGTCTATACACATGTCACTATAATAAAATATTTACTTACTTACTTACTTACATGGGTCCCAGTGACTTTGTTATAACCGAGTGTCGACATAAGAATGGAAATAAATATTGTTAATTGACAATACGTCATTGGTATATTGGGGTTTATCCAATATGGATAAACCTGGTTATTTCGTGCAGCTTAATGTTTTACATGCAAAGATAGATAACTCTTAGTTTCTTAACACTGAACTTCATAAATCATCGGGCTCGGTGTTCAAAAAATTCTTCATATTTATTGTATGCGCATGTCTTCATGAATATTCCTTTATGATCTGTAATTTGAATGAAGCAGACGAAAAAAAATTTTGAAAAAATTTGCAAAGAATGCTGTCTCCGGGGGGTACTGTTTTTTCCAGACTCCTTGGATCAAGATGGTATTTCTCTTGCTCATTATCTATATTCATTTACCTTAGTCTCGTTTTCCCCAGACTCTCGCTCTCGAGACTTTGCCCGAGCGAGAGTCTGGTCTGATTCCTATTTATTTTTTGTAACCAGTAGAGGTCGCTAAACCGGCTAACAAGATGGCGATTCCAATGAAAATACATATGAGAATTTACTTTTTAAACAAAGATATGTGCGTTTTTTGTTCCTTGTAAAGCAGACAGAGGTATTTTATTATAAAACCAGGTAAAAGTAAAGGCGCAGCCTCTGACTTTTTAAAGAATACAGATCTTAGATTCGAAGAGAATGTGTCAGCCAATGAAAATCCATACCGATTTCTCGGTGAGCCTCGATTTGAAATTACAAAAATTAAATAGGAATCAGACCAGACTCTCGCTCGGGCAAAGTCTCGAGAGCGAGAGTCTGGGGAAAACGAGACTAGCGAAACCTGGGCCGGGCTGGGAATTTCGAAACTGAAAACCGGGTTTTTGATAATTACGAAATAAATACTCATTCTTTCTTTATGAAATTTACGGACATGGTTTATAACCATAAGATTTCCCTTTGCTATGTTATATTTTGTTGTGTAGAATTATGTCAATTGTACTAAAATTATTTTTACCTTAAAATATTTGTCGTTTTAACAAGTTTTTTTTAAAATAATATATATAACTATAAAACAAATAATTATTTTGTATAATCGAGTAATAAGTGAATTATTGTGATAAACTAACCGCTTATCAATATTTTTATGTAATTTGTGATAATGAAACTAGTGAGTGTTATTATTTTCACTTTCAGTGTGAAGCAAGGTGTTTTAACCGCAAAGGTTTATATAGGGTACAATACAGTCATCAAAATTGTCGAGAAAAGAGGCTTGCGGCATTCTTCAGAATCATGATCAAGGATTTATCTACCATCCCCCCACCACCCCCCAGTATGACCGAAGGCAGGCGAGATTGCTACCCATTTTAGTCACCTGGAAAAGGACAATCGGTGATAATCATTGAAAAATACACAGCATTTTGTGTTAAAAATTATGTCTGTAAATTTCATAAAAAATAATGAGTATTAATTTATTTCGTAATTATCAAAAAGCCGGTTAGTCTCGTTTTCCCCAGACTCTCGCTCTCGAGACTTTGCCCGAGCGAGAGTCTGGTCTGATTCCTATTTATTTTTTGTAACCAGTAGAGGTCGCTAAACCGGCTAACAAGATGGCGATTCCAGTGAAAATACATATGAGAATTTACTTTTTAAACAAAGATATGTGCGTTTTTTGTTCCTTGTAAAGCAGACAGAGGTATTTTATTATAAAACCAGGTAAAAGTAAAGGCGCAGCCTCTGACTTTTTAAAGAATACAGATCTTAGATTCGAAGAGAATGTGTCAGCCAATGAAAATCCATACCGATTTCTCGGTAAGCCTCGATTTGAAATTACAAAAATTAAATAGGAATCAGACCAGACTCTCGCTCGGGCAAAGTCTCGAGAGCGAGAGTCTGGGGAAAACGAGACTACATTTACCTATGCTGCCATATCATCATCATAGTGATCGGCGCATACATTGTGTTATATATATCTAATTTATTATTAAATGGCCATGACAAGCACGCCAAAACAAATATAGTCTTGTTTTTATTGACTGTATTTTCAGACTTCTTAAACCTTTTACTGGGGTTAATCTGATCAAGTGTGTTTCTGTTATTGTCTTAGTCCAATGTCACGAAAGAACTAAATGTTGACTTGAAGGCCATAGCAAGTGTTTTCTTCTTTTCACGTAAAAGATTATTGTGATGTGGTTATTTTCACAATAGAGTTACCTCTCTTTGTTGTCATTACCGTCTTCCTTGGAAGACGGTATTGTATAGTTGAAGTTTTTTAAGTCTTCGGACTGTGCACTTCCTCTCTTTTGTGATTGGTAGAAATTGCATGATGAGAAAATTTTCAATTATTTCATTGGTTGAAATGCTGTTCAAGGCAAGGGAAATAACTTTCTGATGATCTATTTTTCGTACGACTTAACAATTTTGCAAAATTTCCAATCTTATAAAAATGACAAAACGAACAACAAAATCAGCAGTACTTATTTCTTAATAACATGATATTTTTATAGCAATGAATAAAAAGGTCTCTTTAATTTCATTATAAATAAAATTTGATGGTTATTACTTGCAGGCTTTACAATTTGTTATTATTCTTTTCCCCTTTCTTGTTTGAAGAGTGAATGGGAATCAGCCAAGGTTTGCCGAAAGCTCTCGGCCAGTCAAAGTTTACGGAGATGACCGAGCGACAACCGTGGTAGGGCTAATGCCCGTAAAATACAAAATCAAGAAATTCAAAAGAATTATACGGCCTGTTAAGTATAGATCTGTTTACTGTTTAAAATTGTTGCTAAAGACGGTAAGCTTTTTTGAAAAGCTCTACTTGTACAATGTTTGTCATTGAGGGTAATTTCCACATCTATTTTTAGTAACAGAAATTCTGTTTAGCTAAAGTGTTTAAGATTTTTATTTAAAATAATTTTTGTCATTGTCATTTTTCAAATAATGATGGAAAATACACATAAGTTTTTATTTAAATTTACTGTTTAATATTGATAATTTCAGCATCACTTCCTGTGATCACGTGACTTCATTGTTTATGATTTTTGCACGAAATGTTTCGCATTGTTGAAGCTGAATTATTTATAGCTAGGTGTACCAACTGTTGTACAGTTATAATCACTGTGGTCGGTGGTGACCTTGATCTAAAGCTTATGCATTGTAGCCTTAGTTGGGCACACTGTCATTACTGCCATTATTATTACCATTATTGCAGCCCGGAGGACCGGGCTGCTCTATACATATAAGTTTAAGTGTTGGTGTATGGGGATTGGGGTGGGAGTAGTTATGTAGAATTAAAGGTTTTCTACACATTGAAAAGATTGTTAATCAGAATGTTCTTTGCGTTTATAAATTACGAGATACATAATATATTTACTTCCATAAAGTGAACTTGTAAAAATATATATGTTTTTCATATTTAATATATAAGTTACTTATCATTTACTATCGAAACAACGAAGTGTCCCTTTTTTTAGAACATCGAATATTACTTCTCGGATAAAAACGTACTCTGCACAGTTCGTGTTTTATATTCTAAAATTGAAACTTAATACATTTTTAAATATAAATGGTGCGTGTGTCTAACTTCAATTTATATTTTATGCAGCCAACATTTACTTGAGGAGTTGATCAAGTTTAAAATGGTATCGTTTTTGATTGATTTTTATCCGACTACAAATTTTTTTAAAATATTTGCGACTATCGTCTACATCAATTAGACGCATGCCTTTTTACACATATCGAAGCGGTTTGTTGATCAAGACTCTTTCATTGTTTACTTTATATATTTCCCGGGCGACAATTGATGGTTACATCAATGTTTTCTTGTCATTATTTGTAATACCATTGATATTCATATAATAAACCTATAAAAAGAACAAATCTGGTTATCACATTATGAACAAATTCTGCTTCATATAAATACAAAAATAGATTTTCTTATAAATTAATGGATACCTCTGAGAATTCCCATAGATTGTTAGCATGCCTAGTCTCCGAAAACCACATATATACTGTAAACTCGAGCATCTTTTTAATATCAACTTTAGAGTACTTGTGTGTACAATCAGCTTTTTTTTTAACAAAGTAATTTTGTAAATGACCAATGACAGGGTAATTAAATTTACGAGTTCCATTTTTATTGTAAAAGCAGCTGTCAATGATGTCAGAAAGCCCGGACTTTGATTTATCGTGTGGAAAAGTTGTATACTAGTATAAAGTTGAAAAAAAGTTTTATGTTGTTGATTTTGCTAAAATTTTGTGATTTCAAATGTTTCAAACGTTTCTTGGAATTTTTTAGTATCCACATCTGATTAACACCACTTCTCTCATATATTGTTTAAAGTTTATCGAGAAAAATACATTTTAACGCAAACCTATCGCATCAAATCAAATTTCAAATTTGTAAATATATTTTATACACACATTTTTTTGTAGGAATTGATTCAGAGGATTGTTTCTAAACCGAGTCATGTACATGTATACTCATTTTCCTTGAATAGTATCATTTCTTACCATCAAATTACATCCAAATTGTGCATAAGATCGTAAACCATCCTCTGAAAATTTAGTAATAACAACACACTATTCATCCAGTCACTGTAACAATGTAATGGTCCTGATTGTATTTTGCTGAGAACGTAAGTTTCTATCAAGTCAATCACTGCCTCACATATTAAAATAGAATGATTCTCCATTACGTGAAAAAGACAAACTAATGAATAAGGAATAAATCAAATAAAATTGCTATTTTAAACTCTGCAAACATACATGTATATTTTTTAGGACAACAAACACTTCATATGGTATCTATCTACATGAACCTTGCCGTTCAGAGCTCAGGAAGATTAACAAAAAATATAAATGGGTGTTACTTTTCTTTGAACTTGATACATTCCCTCGGTATCGAACAACAATACGTGCTTCAATCACTAATCTTTGCAATTCCAAGAGGTGATAGAATCAAAATCAACATAAAATCCCAGTTTTTAAACTTCAAAACTTTAGATCTCGAATCTCAAATACAATTGCATACGATTCTAGCTGCAAAATACAAATGTCCCTTTCTTCAGAAAATGGCGTCCACAAATTTGAAAATTCAAATTCTTGGCGGGTTTCTTTGGAGTTACGGACACTGACTATGAGCAGATCATACACCAAAGTAATGGCCTCAGCGACAGCCACAACGCGACACGGACATCCCTCTGACTGTCTGTATGGCTGTTATGTTGTTTTTTATGAACATCAAAGTCTGTGACATATATTCTATCGGGGAGCAGCACAGTCTCTTCTCCAAGAGATACTTTATCAGAACATGGTTTGTGGCGTTAAAATATGGGTCCATCGGAGCCACGGGGCAATCTCCAGCACAAATGTTCGCTTGGTATGTTATAGGACGCAGAATGAATTTTTCATACCATCCTAAATCCCGGAAATCCACAGTCCATTCCTCCAGACGACAGGGATTTAGAGTTTCTGCTGTTTCCATAGTCGAGTTTCTGTTGGAAGGCACAAAGCGCTTCCGACGGACTGTGTGCAATAGGGAGACATTTATGTCGAGAAAAACCGCCAGAACTGGATTTAGGTGTCTTACTTGGTGATTCGATTTACTGACGGAGACGAACAGATTTAATGTTGTATTTAACACCTGATCCATAGCAAGATTTGTGACGTCAGCCAAATGTCCCTGTTCTGTATGGAAGGTACTCACTCCTGCAATTATAGAATTACGTATATATGAAAATTTTAAAAAGTTTAAAGAACATTTCTTAAGTATAAATAAACTTGGATTTTTAAAACATTTCATTCTACAATTTTTGTCCAATTTATCATAAATTGGCATATATATTTACATTGGCACACATTATTGTCCCTTTTCATTTTTAGAAAGTTAAAATGCAAATGGAACTGTCTAAAACGTTAAAAGAATAAGATTGCATGAACAATATGTTATGGTTTGAGGACAAGGCTTGAAACAATATCGTCTTTGTTTGTAATGTTTATTATCGTAACTGTATTCAGAAATCCTCCTTTTGCTCACAGTTTCCTATCTAAAGGTGACATTTTAAAAAAAAATTACGTATACTGGATATCTAAACTTCCTAAAAATCCTTACAAACAAAGGTACATTGTGGGATCCAATAAGTATTCAACCAAGCCCCTCTCTTTACTCCTTAAAAAATTATTACTGTAAAGGAAAAAACTTGAGACACACTCTGCTACATCACTTTCTGATAGTTCTGCATATCAAATGTGGATTCTCCAAAACTCCAAAGAACTTAAAGAAAATTTTAAACACCATTTTCTTTCAAAAGAATGTAGTCTAGCATGTCTTTTCTATATTTAAAAAAAATTCCTTACGATGAATTAAAAATATATTTAAGGTAACTACTTCTTCAATAGAAAGAGAACTCGGAAATTTTCATATCTTGTGATTGCTCTTAACAAAATTAATTGTAAAATCACAGTTTCTACACACAAGTTTCCTGAAGCTGATATTAAAAGGATGCTGGAGATTCTCGTTGACAACATTTATGTGGTTGGAATGCCGATCGAGACTAATTGTGCTCCTTCATTAACCAACCTGTTTTATATTCATAAGAAAAAGACTTTATTTTAAAAAAAATTTCGCTGTGGCTACTTCCATTTACATATCGACTAGATATATCCCAATGAAAGGAAATAAAAGACATCACTGAGTCTGGAACAACTGTTTTATATTTGGATGTTTTAAGGATAGGCAAAAATAGCTCCTGACAGATAAGTTGAAGTTACAGGAATATCAGTATCTCCGTTTAAATTCAGCATTTTGTAAATCCTATGATCGTTATAATGATCTTTTGAGCAATTTTTTCTTCTCATTTTATCATATTTTAAATGGTATGCAAGTTTTCCATCCCAATTGTAAAGCCTTAATGATCTAACCAAAGGAGGAAGCAACGGAAACAGAAGGGAAAGTTAAGGAAAGAAAAGTCATTTACATTGTTGTGAGTATCTTGAATATAATAACTTAATATTGCCCAATAATGTTTACGTTATGAAACTCCAATAATAGAAGCACTTACTGATTCCGGGGCGGTATGGGGATGTGATTTGTAGAGAGATCTGTCGGTGGGTGTGTCCTGTGAAGGCGACCTCTATCTTGGTCACGTTTCCATCAATAGGTGCTCCTGATAAATCAAACTCAAGCAGACCTTCAGAGGAATCTGTATCAAAATGTTGACATACTACTAAGATTTTTAATGTTGAATGTTAATTCTAATCTTTTTTTTTGCAAGCATCGTAGGAAATTTCCGATTACCAGTATTTTTAGGGACATGGACACAGCGTCAACTGACTTTTAAAACCAATTTTAATATTTACAATTCCTAATTAATTAATTTAATTAATAAAAAAATATTTTGATAATGTGTATAAGGAGCACCCAAATAGTATTGATAATGATTATTTGTTTAAAATTTTAAACCAAAATTACCAAATAAAATTAGCCAAATTTGTCCATACAGCATTTAACCATAGAAAGAATCTTCTGCATGTGTAAATTTATATAAATGTAATTAATGGAAAAAGTGACTTATAGGTCCAATGGGCCGGGTGCAAATTCAGTCTGACGTATTTTGTTTACAATGTGTATTGAAATGTCTATATGCACAATCACTATAATAAATGATTACTTACTTACTTACTAATGCAATTCAAATGATCAGCGAAATTTTGAACATCATTTGTTGATTTACAAAGACACAGAACTTAAAATTCTTCATAATGTAAACAAGGCTCGTGCCTTATTTTTGTTCACATGTAGAAAATATATTTATAACAAAACAAGTTTCGGTAAATCACTATTGAAACTATGAAATGTATTTAGAATTTAACTACATAATTTAAAAATCTGCTTTGAACGAACATATACTAGTATATCTAACCTATGTAAACAAAAAAATGACACGAGCCTTGTTTACATAACAAAGGTTTGGACTCAAATCTGTCTTGTATCTCCACAACTGAATATCAAGCTTTTGATAATCATTAAAAATTTGCAAACATAGAAATTGAAAATTTTCAGCTGAAACTGTGTCCACGTCTCTTTAAAAATATTATTTATATATGGAAAGTGAGTTTCGGATCTGAAATTAAGGAATAGGTTAAAAACCTAAGAAGATACACAGTTTATTGTCTAGAGATAAAATGCGTTGAGTACATTCTAGCAACGAATAACAATATTTTGCTGCTGTCCATAAATTTATCTATGAAACCATCAGACTTTTAATTTTCATTTCAATGAAATGAATTTTCAGTTAAAATAATACATATAGAAAGATAAAATTAACAAGTATTTAATTTCAAGATATACTGTTATATTTTAGGATAGAAAACAGTAAGTTATAAGAACTTGTTGTCAGTCCCTTTGATTAGTTCAATGAAATATGTCCAAAAAAAAAATTATTTACATCTATTAAAAATCGCTCATATCTGGCATATGTGTTAAAATATTCACCCCTTATTAATTTGATTTTATAATATTTTTTTTCGATTTATTTTAATTGTAAATTCTTTCCATTCATCAGAAATAACATCGTTGTTATAACTAATCGTCAACAGAAAGCATTCAGATACTTTGAAATTCACAAAAGTTGCTATGTAGTTATTCCATAAATGCAGAAGTAATCCATGTTTAATTTAGAGTATTTCAATGATGCACAATTTTTTCATTAATTTTTTTGTCTTGTTTTTTGATTTAATCTTATTTTTTATTTCTCATTTAAGGAGTGATTATGCATTGAAATTGTTTGTGTTAAAACAAAATTACTTGACAAGTGCGTTCTTAATAAAAAAAAATTAAAAAATGAATAATTTTTATTAGCACTACCATTCACAATTCAATTAATATTATCAAGATATAAAAAGTTAATTGCATCTCATAATTAAACTGTCATGTACATATTCATAATTAACTTTTGATTATTTAAAATATATACTATAGTTGTATTGTTTAACAAAGTGTTGAATGTTTTATTATCTTCACTGTTAAAGCATATAATTAATTTTAAACAGATTATTGAATGATTTAGATAATTATTTACAAAAAAACTTAAAAATTGCAGTGTTTGACTTAATTGTGCGACTTTAAAACATTAAAAAATGCAGAATTAGTTTAAATTTGCAAAATTTATATCCAAGTGCTTTTTATCCAAGTATATCCTTTTCAAAAGAAAAGAGATTTCTAGGTGAAAACAAATATACAAAAAATGATGAGGTATATTTAACTTACGCGACTGCGGATTGTAGAACTGTACCCTGGGGTCCCGGTCAGAATACATACGCAGGTCATCTTGTTTTTCTTCTATCTGAAGAAACATGTGCTGCACGTACGGTAAGAGAGGTCGAGTGATGGGTACACGCCCTCCCGGGTCAATGCCCAGAGTCTGAAGAAATTCAGAAGACAAGCGAGGGGGCACAAACGCCCCATTCCAAGATCAGTTGTGAATACAACCGCGTACAACCAAATGCCGAGTGTTCTCATAATTTTTGACAGGGATCCAAAGCATGTCAAAGCTTTATATACCAAGACCTATATATGCCAGTGGCATGTCATCGTGGTTTTGCTATAAGTAATACACATTTAAAATTTATAACATGCACCAGTTTGATTTTTTTCCCAAGAAATTGTCAAATACTTGTAAATATCGATGCTTTAATTTTCATTTTAATACTCATTAATATTTAGCTTAATTTAGTTTAGAAAGGTGTTTTAAATCATGTTACATTTTGCAGCTTATGACAAATTTAACGGAAATCCAGGCAAATGTCAGTTAAATTTGGAAACATTTATTCTATTTAATGGTAAATTTGATTGATTCATTCACTTAATTAATATTACCAGTACTTAGGATACGCCAACCATTGTGTATTTCCGACCATCTCTATTACGTCTGAATGGTATTTTAAGATTATGAAATATACCAAAATCCAGAGATAAATAGCACATGCCCTTGTTTCTGAAATAAAGATTTTGACCCATAGACCTAATGCTCAGTAATACAATGGGTCAAAAACTATTTTTTGTCGTTGTCTGTTATCGCTATCTAGATACAAGTATACACGTGTATAAATTTATATAGGGTCAGTTATAACGTATGATACAATAGGAAACTTTCGTGATAAAATATTGTAGAATTTATACTATAAAAACTGGGGTTTTTTTTAAATTTTAAATTTTTTGTGTGGTATTTTTAGGTCATCCGAGTCACTCAGGAGTCCTATTGCTATCCGTTTTCGTCCGTCGTCCGTCGTGTGTTAACATTTGAACATTTTTAGCTTCTCTGAAACCACTGAACCAATTTCAACCAAATTTGGTATACAGCATTTATGGGTGAAGGGGAACAAAAATTGTGAATTTCATAGTCATGGCCCCCCTTGGGCCTGAGGGATGGGACAAAAACCACTAAAATTACTGAAATCTTTAAAAATCTTCTTTTTTACACCTGGACATCAAGCAGTCAAACTGTTGGTGTGAATGTAATTAGCATTAAGTCTTCTACCGAAATTATGAAATTCATGGCCCCAGGGTCAGTTGTTCTAGTGCTAGGGCGGGGTTATATAGATTATATAGTGAAAATGCATTATTTCTTTGAAAATCTTTGCTCATGGGTATTAAATAAACTAACTAAGTAAATAGTTATGATGAGCAAGAGTACCTCTTCCAAAATTTGTGAAGTTTAAGGCCCCAGGGTAAGGGGTTCTGGGGTTTGGGGCGGTGCTCTACTGGCTATATAGTGAAAATGCATAAATTCGTTAAAAATTTTCTTCTCTGCTCATTGGTATTAAAAAAACTAACTAAGTACATAGTTATGATGAGCAAGAGTGCCTCTTCCAAAATTGTGAATTTTATGGTCCCAGGGTCAGGGGTTCTGGTGTTAGGGCGGGGCTCTATTGAATATATATATTATAGTGAAAATACATCAAATCTTTGAAAATCTTCTTCTCTGCTCCTGGATATTAAAAAACTAACTAAGTACATAGTTATGATGAGCAAGAATGCTTCTTTTAAAATTGTGAATTTTATGGCCCCAGGGTTAGGGGTTCTGGGGTTAGGGCGGGGCTCTATTGGTTATATAGTGAAAATACATTAAATGTTTTGAAAATTTTCTTCTCTGCTCCTGGGTATTAAATAAACTAACTTAGTATATATTTATAATGAGCAAGAGTGCCTCAACCAAATTTGTGAATTTCATGGCCCCTGTGTCAGGGGTTTTGCCATTTGATGTAACGGGGGGGGGGGGTGCTCTCTTGATTATAAAATACATTAATTCTTTGAAAACATTTTCCTTTGCACCTGGCTATTATGCCAATGATCTAAGTTTATATATTCACCGTCAATAGAAACGCAACACCCTAATTTTAGGGTGAAAAGTATATACAGGTTATAATTATGTACCAAACAAGTTAGGACATCTTTTACTTTGCCAAATCAGTTATTTAACGGTTGAATGGATTTCTTTCCATTACCGGAAGTTGCTTTTTAGCTCTCTTAACAGAATTCAAAATTTTCCATTTTTAATAAAATTTAAACAATATTTTGGGTTTCCAAGGTTTTGAAACTGTTAATCATAAGTATTGTACTAAAAGGCCGGGAAAAAATCCTTCTTTCTTTACCGGATGTGATGCCCATATTTCCTCAAAATGACTGATAGCAAGAAGGGGGGATGTTTTAAGAGTTATGTGTTACCTTCTAAAGTTTAATGATAACATTAAAAATGAATATATTTAGGTAAAAAGTAAATTTACAAAAAATTAATGCTCCATTTAAACATTAAATGTTATTTTTAGACCTTAGAAAGAAACAAATACCCGTTAAATCTTAAAACATCCCCCTTCCGACCATTTAATGAAAACGTACTAGTCCGCCATATACAACAAATGCAACCCGATTTCTACCATGCATTAAGTTTATTAATGTCTTAATCTGAGCGAAATTAAGATTCTTGGGCATTTTTAAATACATATTTTTTCAGATATTGCGGTCGAATTTTCTCTAACCTGGCGTAGTGTAGCAACTTTTTGACTTCCGGTCAAGAAACTGCCATTTATGCTATTGAAACACATGAGCCTGATGAGTCAATGTGTACATTTGCATCTGCACTCTTTTTTTCTTTATTTTGAGAATTTCCAGCATAAGCAATGAAAATCAGTCATTTTGAGGAAATATAGGCATCACATCCGGTAAAGAAAGAAGGATTTTTTCCCGGCCTTTTAGAACAATACTTATGATTAACAGTTTCAAAACCTTGGAAACCCAAAATATTGTTAAAATTTTATTAAAAATGGGAAAATTTTGAATTTTGTTAAGAGGGCTAAAAAGCAACTTCCGGTAATGGAAAGAAATTCATTCAACCGTTAAATAACTGATTTGGCAAAGTAAAAAATGTCCTAACTTTAATGGTACATAGTTATAACCTGTATATAATTTTCATCCTAAAATTAGGGTGTTGCGTTTCTATTGATGTTGAGTATATATTTATGATAAAAAAGGTGCATCTAGCAAAATGGTTAATTTCACGCCCCCTGGGTCAGGGGTTTGGGGGGGGGGGGGTATATAGTCTGAAAATAAATTATTGCTTTGAAATCTGCTTCTTGGTATTAATCAATCAATTATGATGAAATAAAATTTATGATAAAATTTCCAAAATTTAGAAATAAGTGGCCGCAAGGTCAGTGGTTCCTTTGGGGTGCCCAAGTGCACAACTGGTTATAAAGTGGAAGTGCATTTTCTCTTTGCTTCTCTGATCTACCTCTGGGTATTAAGTAACTAGAGTAAACATGCTAAGTATATAATTATGATAAGCAATGGTGCCTCTTTCAAAATTGTGAATTTCATGGCCTCTGGTTTAAAACACAAACCAAATTCATGCAATTGTTCGAAAGTTGTTACATGATGCTCAGGTGACCTACAAGGCCCGTGGGCCTCTTGTAATACTTTTAGTAGATTTTTTTTATCTATGCCGTCTACCTGACCAATCTCAGAAATTTCCTTTGTATGGTATTGTATGTCATTGTTAGCATAGTGGTGTTCAGTGAGGAATCTCTATACGAGAGGTCAACATTACCGCTACATCGCCAAAAATTTCAACTCAGTACAGCTACATTTTTTGAAATTTTCGACCGATCGTTACCGCTACATTTTTTTTAGTAGAAAACAACTCATTACCGCTACATATGGAATCAGCCAGGTATCCAGGATCGGAATATAAGTTCCAATCACAAAGCTTTCACAAAGAATTCGGCACGAAGTTTTACAGTTCTCATTCTAAAATGTTTGAATTTTTGGCAATGTTGACAGAAGTAAAATATATGGCAGTGTCAAATAAAACGTATGGTTGCTGTCATGTATAAGCATAAACTGCTTCAAATATTTGAATATAATACTTTGTCCATGATTTGTTGTATCTCATTCTACGTATTTTTGAGTCGGTGTGAATATGGGATTTTGTATTTCAGGGGATAAAGGTCTTATGCATGTATATGTTGTACTTTACATCAATCTGTACAGGCACAAGTGGCTGGCTAAAGAAAGAAGCAATGCAGCAGTAATGTATACTTTTAGATTGTAGCGGTAATGTAATTTTTTTTGTAGCGGTAATGAAAACTTTGAAAATGTAGCGGTAATGATACGCACCCCTCTATACATCAGTTCATTTGCCAACCTCCTTTCTTAAAACTTTACATTGATTTTTTCATCACGTGGATTCATAGGAATTCCATTCATAAAATATTATCAATGTTTTTTTTTCTCTTGCAGGAAGGAAACTGAATGCAAATGAAAAATTATAAAAGGTCAGTTATATTGAAAAAAGTGATGGATACCACGGAGTAAAGCCTGCAAGCAGTGGCAGTACAGGCAACTACGGTATCTTCGTGTGAAATGGTATATAGGAATTTTATTTGATATCAATGATAAAAGATATATGTTAGAAAAGCCACAAACATTCACATCGAAGACGACAAGGCATATTTCAGCGACAGAATTTCATTCATGAAGAATTTATCTTTACGCAAATGTAATTATTCATCTTTTAAAATAAGTTTTCATGAGTAAGAAAAAAAATATCGTATCAAATGAACCCAAAAGACATTCCCCTTTCTATCAACATGATCAAGTAAATAATTTCCATTTATCAAGTACGTTTTGAAGAGGGTGTAAAGTTCTTTGTAAATTAAATACCGATGAAATACCGGTAAATGGAACAAAACATATGGAGATAACGAGCAGTATTCAAGATCAAAAGTCCATAAAACAATACAAAAAAGGAGCAGAGCAAACACGGACCTCCAAAACATTAGAGGTGGGATCAGGTGTTATGGAGGAGTAAGCATCCCCTGCCGACCGGTCACACCCGCCGTGTGCTCCTTGTCATTAACGAGAAAATAACGGAAAAATTCATCGTCAATTTAGTGTATAAATAATGGACTA